AATCGAATTTTGTTCAACAAGTAGTCAGTGAACAGATGTATGTTGCCTTCGGATGATGTTGAGTGTCACCTTGGTGGCACAATATTAAATAAGCAGTTTAATTTTTCTATGTATTTTTAGAGGTTGCCGGTTTTACCGTTAAAACTTGAAGTATATATTTACATACCAAAAAAATACTCCAGAATGGGTAACACAACTTCTAAGGAGAATTGAGAGCTGCTCGAGGATGTCTCAGGTCTTACAACAGCTATATGAGAGACTGTCTTGTGCAGAAATAATTCTCTTTCATTTTCCTTTTCAACTTTGTCTCTTTCTCTCACTCCTGTGAATATGAGAATGATAAAATGAGAGGATGAGAGAATCTTATGTATGTGTGCTGTGGGGGAGAACATTTATTTTGCAAAGACCATATTACTGTATGTGGGTCAAGATCTGTTGATTTAAAATCTCTTAATATTTCACTGTGGGGTTTTTATTTGAGCTTATGTTGTTATTGTAATGTTTACTGTGACCTTGTGCCATGCTCTGCAGGGCTGTTGCTCAGTCAGATTTCATATGCCTGAGACAGACACACTTACATTGTGCATGATGTGTGTGTTTTTGTCCTCCTTAGAGTGATTATTGATGAGTAGATGCTGTTAAAGAGCATATGTGTGTAACAATGTTTTGATTTAGCTTAAATTATCATTGCCAGAGAGAAGGGGTCTAAAAATAATGTTTGGGTGTCAGGTTTTATGGGGGAATTTAATTGGGGAAAGTCATCTAAACTTTATATTTTTGTCTTGGGTTGAAGATTCAAATGCAGCTTTATTGGGACAATCCAGAATCGTAATCAATTTAAAAGGGCAAATGGTCAAACACACGGGAAAACAATGAGCAACAGTGCATGAAACAAAGGAAAATGGATAATCAAGAGAATGGGCAAAAAAACAAGAAATAATAAACCAGAATAACGCTCAAAAAATGCCATGTAACAACATACAAGACTTCGAAATGTAAAAGTGAATACACAAGGCTTAAATAGGCAGTGTTGTTGAGTCCAGGCAATGGACTATGGGAAATGTAGTTCATGGTGAGATAAAGCAGATGGAAGGAATGTCCTCTGGTGGAGATCAAGAGCGCAGCAGCTGGTGGTTGTGACAGTTACATTATATATGTTATTACAATTAATTTGAATCAATTTCAGCAGATTTAGCTAAAAGATTATCCAATTTTATTTAATTATTAAATTCAGTCGAGAAGCTAAAGGGTGGAATACACTATAACTTTCTAAATGAACAGCTTTTAAAATACTAGCATCATACACTTTGCCAATTTTTTATTTAAAACACAATAAAACACATGTTATTAACATTGTTTTTATTATTTTTTTTTTTTTTCATTTAACACTGGGCTTTTTTACCTTGGCATTAAATGAGAGAAAACTGGTTATTGAAGCCGTGTGTTTCTAATATGACGCCTGAGGGAGGGAAATCAATGTAATCTTCTGACCAATGTAACCAATCTCTCCATATTGAAACTCTTGCAAGTATCCTGTAAGTCGCTCTGCGCAGTGCTACAGGTGCCATATATTATACCCAACAAAAAGTGCCATCCGGCAGATGGCACGTCCCAGTCTCTTCGTCCAGCCAGTTCTTCTTAACTCCTCCGCTGTGGACGTATGCCGTTATATAAGGCGACTGCTGACAAGATGCAGCTTTAGTTCAGGGCATGTGTAATAGCAGCCGTAGACAGACAACATCAGACGGCAACATTAATAACAGATAGAGCAGAGTGCTGTTATGTTCTATCGTCTAAATTCCCAAAACACCTTATACTACACTCTCTCTCCCTCTCTCCCCACCTCCCTCTGTTTTCCCCCCTTCAGCCTTTTCAATCTGCGTAAAGACATGTTGCTGCTCGAGAATGTCTGAAATATTACAACAGCTATATGATAGAATGTCTTGTGCAGAAATAATTATCTTTCATTTTCCTCCACTGACTTTATGTCTCTTTCTCCCACTCCCGTGAATGATAACAGTAGAATAGGAGAGTTTCTCCTAGATGCATGTACTGTGGGAGAGATTATGTATTTTGCACTAGCTTTATTTTATGTGGGTCAAGATCTGCTGATTCAAAATTTCACTGTGGAATTTTTTTAGATGCCGTTATTTTAATGTTTACTGCCACCCCTTGCCATGTTCTTCAGGACTATTGTTGCCAAATCAGGATTTAATATGCCCGAGATAACAGACTTTATACTTTGTAGAGAGATAGCATTGAGTAAATGAATATGTGTGAATGTGATCGTGAATGACTGTGTCTTGGGACACATAGAGAAATTATTGATGCGTAGATTCTTTTAGGCGGCAGATGAGTCTCGTCATACATAATTACATGCAGTCACACACACACACACACACACACACACACACACACACACACACACACACACACACACACACACACACACACACACACACACACACACACACACACACACACACACACACATACTTGTTTGGGGTGCCTCGTGGGGGCACCAGTTATTTACCACATTTTGGGGACACCACTTTCCTGGCATCCTAGAGACTAGATAAACATATCAAAAAATCTAAAAAAAAAAGTTTAATAAATATCTCTCTTAAAATGTAATTAATTCATTAAAATAAGGGTAGGTGGTAATCTGGGGACAGGTCAGGTTAACACATGTGGGGACACGGGGACAACTCCTTATATGAGCATTAACAGGAAATCCCATCTGGGGACAAAACCCTGACCAACTAGTGTATCAATAAGTACACATGGATGTCCAATCTGGGGACAAACCAGTGTAATCTACAGACAAAGAAAGGTCATAATATGGCCAGCTGGCCAATTCATAATGGTACTTCCGGAAGTTATATTGGTTTGTTAAAAATAGGGTGGTTTAATTAGTTAGTTCAGCTTAACTTAAATGAACTTGAACATGCAATCTTCAACTGCAAGTCATTTCAGTCCTCCAAGACTGCCACAATCATATACTGCATTTAACTCATTCTTACACAATTCAGTTGCTACATTTACTGATTATGACCCAAGAGAGCCATACATTGAATGTGATTTTGCTGAGCAGCAAAGTTGTCAAAGTCAATCTAATTTATATTATAAAGCCCTTTAAAAAAAAGTTGTCACTGAGTGCTTTTACAAACACTCACCCTAAACCCGAGCACACAAGTAGATACACAAAAAAAATAAATAAATAAAACACAAAACCAATTAAACGTATACATGGTAAGCTAATTGTTAAAAATATGTTTGAGGTAAAATTAAGAATCCTGTAGTTAACCAGTAATAACACATTTGGGAAGGTTAGAAGATCAGAGCTACAATTCTTAAATTGTCTAACATTATGAACGTTATCAGTGGAATGGAGCTTTTGGTCTAGTTTTGAAATGCTCTAAAAATTGAACCTTTAAGTCATTAAAACAATCCAAGAGAAATAAAAACAACCTTGATACAAATTGAATTTACAGCCAAATTTAATCAGTACAGTATGGGTTCCGTGCTTGCCACCAGATATTACAACATATATTTTTTATGAAGTGCTTCGTCTAATGTGCCATCAGAAAATACATTTATCAATTTAAAATTAAATCCATAACACTATTCAGTCCCCTTTACGTTTCACATTTTTAATTAAGGCATTGGAAACTATAGGCAGTCTGTCGTATGGCTACTGTACAGTAAAACTAATCTACGCAATTAGAAAAAAATCATTTACACCAACTCATCCCCTGACACTGTTGTGAATTAATCAGAATAGAAATGTGAATTTGTTATCTTTAATAATAACGGAAACAGTTTGACATTAATGGGGGTGTTCAGCTTTAAGAGAATTCTACCAATAATGCATCAGTGTATGTGAGGAAAAAAAGAGAAAGAGATTGTTTTCATGTGCGAGCGCTGTATCTAATGATTCAAGTTCAGAAACTTCAGTAAACAGTTCAGTTTATTCAATTCAAGTCGTCAGTGGTCATTATTGCTGGTCAAGGAAGAAAATACACAACAGACACAACATTTTGCCTGCAGACTTAAAAACAAGTAAGTCCAAGCACCAAATTTACATCCAAGCACCAAATTTACAACCAGCATCGAACTGTTTCAAAGGAGAACTCCGGTCAATTTTAACATTGAGCTCATTTTTTGTACATTTGGAGTGCTGTCAGTACAGACAAAAACGACAAAATCAGTGTTGCCTACACCTTGTTATCCTCTTTATAAAATTCGCACCCTGTTGACTTCAATGGGACATGTTCTAAACCTGCTTTTAGCCTCTTAACATCCTTGATTTGTCATTACGTGTGCACAACTATGTGAGTGGTGTTAAGAGTGACCACAGTCAATCTGACTGCAGTAGATGTGAAAGATATTAATAAAAGTGATGTTAATACAGCCAGCGCACATACCCGTGTTTACTTCCTGTTTTCAGTCGAACTCCACAGTAGTCGATTTTCCGAGTTCGCACGCGATCATTGGTAACTAAATGATGTTCAACATCTGATTCGGATGAACTATCCATTTGAGCTGATATTGTCAGAACACCACACAGCACCGTCATAGGCTGACAGCTGACAGTCTGAGTCTCCACTGTTGCTTAGTTACCAATGATCGCGCGCGAACTCGGAAAATCGACTACTGTGGAGTTCGACTGAAAACAGGGAGTAAACACGGGTATGTGCGCTGGCTGAATTAACATAATTTTTATTAATATCTTTCACATCTACTGCAGTCAGATTGACCGTGGTCACTCTTAACACCACTCACATAGTTGTGCACACGTAATGACAAATCAAGGATGTTAAGAGGCTAAAAGCAGGTTTAGAACATGTCCCATTGAAGTCAACAGGGTGCAAATTTTAAAAATAGGATAACACGATGTAGGCAACACTGATTTTTGTCGTTTTTGTCTTTACTGACAGCACTCTACAAAAAATGAGCTCAATGTTAAAATAGACCGGAGTTCTCCTTTAACCCTTTCAAAACGTATTCATTAATAACATTATAATGTTATAATGACCAAAAAAAAAAACTATGGTATTGAGACCAAAAAAAACAGATGATATAATTCAAGTAAAACACAAAAACTGAATCAACAACCAAAATCAACCTTACTTTTTAGTGGTCCTTCTCTCATATGCTGTGATTCTGTTTTTTATATAATACTTCACCGCCTGCCAGTCTCGTTCACCAAGGGCTTTGGGGGCTGCTGTAATGCATGCCATGCAGTCGACTTTTCCAGGAGTAACTCCAGAGTGAATAAATTTCATCATTTTCTCTTCTACAGCCGCAATCTCCACCTCACTCCACTTTCTCTTCCTAGGAACTAATGACAAGAAAATTACATTAATTGCACTGCATGTGTTGTAGGTCCAAGACTGGATTTTTTTATACTATTCTTTATGATGTTGACCTTTTATAAATAAGCAAATAAAAACTATAGAGGGTTTTCACAGACGTCACGATCTGGGCGGTAACCCGGATGAGCGGCCATTATGGAGGCACTCGGATGTAAACAACAGCATGGATTGCACTGTTCATGTACTACTGAACACATTGTTTCACAAACAAAACACGGGAAAAAACATGTGGTAGGTGCGAAATCATACAGAGAAGGACTTATCAAGCAGGAGAGAGCGTTTTGACAAACTAAAGTTAATATGTGGTAAAGGTCCAAACGAGCTAGCTTCTCTAGCCCATACTGCAATTCTTCCTTCTATTTCTTATTCCGACATTAGCTACGTTCAGATTGTCAGTCCAAAAAGCACATGAAATCTGTTTCAAGCTACATCCATATGTGGTTTGAAATCCTGTTAACACACCAGGACATATGCCTCAGTCTGAACGATTAGATTTCGGGTGGTATGTGTCTCCCCGGGCATGTAAAATGTAAACGTCAGGTTGTTAGAGGAGACATGCTGGAAGTCGCTGCCGAAACAATGCTGTGTTGTTGCAAAGTGCCGGACGAGCAGAAAATTATTATTTCTGAAACATTTTGAAACCGGTGCAGACAAGAGCGCGGAAATAGCTGTACATAACAGCCTCCTACAGTTCTGCAGCTCAATACGCAATATAGTCCAGCGCGGCGGCTAACGTTACACATTTCCATGTTGTAAAATTTAAATAAGACAAAATCTCTATTGCATATGCAAACCGCTCCATCAGTGCCAATATCAGTGCCGTATTGCCCGAGAGCTGCATGGACTCACAAATCGGATCTGAACAGTTGCGATAAACAGTAGCTGCGTTTACATTGACCCTTGTAATCAGATTGACGGCTCAATCGGACTAAAAACCCTTCATGTAAACACCTTAATCGATCCGACTGAGCTCGATCCGACTAGAATTTCGATCGGATTGAAAGGGGTGGTTTACTCCTTTTGTAATCCGAGCGAGAGAACATGTAAACACTTGATCGGATTGAAAACCGAAACTAAAAGGACTGCGCATGTGCAATGACGTTGAAATAGCGTAATGACGCATGACACACAGAACGAGCTGTTCTTCCTGTTGAATAAAGTGTCATATAAATGAATGTTTCGTTATTAAAAAAAATTATCATTTCACTCCATGTCTGTGAAGTGAAGCAGGACAACGTCCCATCAGTCTTTGTTTTACATTCACATCCACACACGACTTTTGGGCGCGGGGTTTTACTGCGTGAAATACAATCAGCACGGAAAAACGGTTCATGCTCATCGTCTCCAGATCATGACCAGAGACGGATAAAAATTAAAAAAGACGGATAAAAAAGACTGTTGTTTAAAACAAATACAGAATCAATAGTGGACAATAGTTATGCTTATGCGTGAACAGTGGTGCATATTCGTGCAGTGTGCGCATGTCAAAAAATCAATTCCGAAAATTGATTTTAATCCGATTGTGTCCATGTAAACGTAGCTAGTGTGTACATCATTTTAGATCAGATTCCAATCGGATACAAAGATAATCGGATTTGGACTGACAGTGTGAATGTAGTCAATTAATATGTTAACATTTTATCCATAGTAAACACTTAATTTACACATGTGCTGACTGATGAGCTGATGCTGTGCCTCTGTCACCCACAAACGCCTTGTTTCATCGTTTTTTGCACTCTTCTCTTTAACTTTTGGCAGTCTATAGAGCTCGAAAGGTATTTTCCCGATGCGACTGATTAGTACGGACCAAAACTCTACCATTTTTCAGCAGAGATAATCAGCCAAATTTGCGAGTCCATTCAGTTCAATGGCATTGTTTATGTTAAGTGCCTCCAAAAATGTCCGACTTCCGGATTGATGACGCGTCGTGAAAACCCTCTATTACTGGACAGGTTCCTTACCTGATGTTACTTTCATGACCTCCGGTGTCCTCTCTGGAGATCCTTTGGAGAAACACAATCATATACATTTCTAAATCAAACTACTAATTACTGATAGGCTGTTTGGAGGAATTCTTGATATTCTGATTGAATTAAACATTTACCTGCCTGTTCATGCATCTTACCTTCATTCGTGTTTACTGGCCTGCTGCAATTCACTCCTGAAGTGCCTGCTTGAAGGCATGATTTAATTATTATTTAACTAATGGAAATGACAAACATCTTTAAAAAATGTGTTTACAAATCTTTACCTGGCTCACTTGACGTCACATCATGAGAATGATCCGACAGTTCTGTTTCATTCTCTGTCCCAGCATCAGTCTCAACGCACTCTGAAACATAGTCTTAGTATTCAGAGATATGCACAGATTCTTCCAAAGTCACTAGGACACACTTGACAGGTGGTTTAAACTCAATTAACAGGTTACATACCTGTCGGATTGATGCTGATCTGGTCAAGACCTTTCCCTCTGAATTCGTTAAGCCTTCCCTGCTCCATAGCCATCAAGACTTTGGTGATTTTTGCCAGCTGGAGTGTTCCCTCTGGTAATCTATAATATTTCCTGTGTATACGAATATCGTGTCCCAAGAAATCAGCAAGTTGGTCCATTTCGGTATCGTTCATGTTAAGTACTCTAGACATTGTTGAGATGTGTTTGCGCAACTTGGTGGACGAAAGGGCTTTTGGACATTTAGCACCACACTCCACGGCAAAGCAGCGCAGGCAGTCTGATCCACGAAATGATGTCTCGCAGCCTGGGATAGCGAACATGTAGATGTTCTCCTTCAGAACACCGCAAACGTCACGTGTTTTAACCAGCAACTCCATGGATTTGATCATTTCCGGTGCCAAAAGTACAGCTATTTTCCTTCCGCGCTTTCCACGGATTTCTACGCGACTAAAGTACTTGCATAGTGCTTGTTCAACTTCTGAGAGAGAGTCAGCAATATCACTATTTAAAGTAGATTTGTCTCGAGACTCGAATGATTGTACTGGCATCAGACAGGCTTCCCCTTGCCTTTTTCTGTTGAAGATGATCATTTGTGCAAGAGTGACTTTAGCCAGTTTTGCCCATGTCTTGGTGTTCGGTGCATTAAAAAGTGTGCTGTAGTATTCTTCCTGTTTCTCCTTTAAATATATATGGAGTTTCTTGACATCATCTGCAAATGGCAAGATCAGTGGAGCGTTGTACCTTTTTTCTTCCAGGGTATTGTGAGCATGACATGAGATCATCTCCCTCCAGCGTGTCTTATAGATGTGTTTGAAGTCCTCTGCTTTTTGAACTTTTGTTGCGTCACCACAGATCCTTGCATCACAACTTACAATGTCGGCAACCTTCATGAGGCTCTGGCCAAGTTTGTTGGCTAGTGTTGGCACCGCTATCTTATTTGTCTCACACTGAAAGCCTGTAACAGCTTTAACTGCATTAACTGTGTGTTGGAAGTTGGCTGGATCAATGTATTCCTCAAGTGATTTGAGAGGAGATACCTGCCTTCCTTTCAAAACCAGTCTCCCTAACTCACGCATTTTCTGACGGATCAGTTCATGATCAGAACGCCGGTGTCCCATGATGTTGTATTTCTGCTCGCCATACTTGAGGATACAACGGTCACTCTTTATGACATCTACCACTTCACCGTGTTTCATATCACTCAGAAGTTTCCACAGTCCCTTGCTAACTCCTTCCTGCACAGGTTGCGCAAAGGCGCAAATTGATTGGGCTCGAGTTCTACCCGGTTTTGGAAGAACACCACGAAGTGGGCACCTTTTCATATGTTTCCAAAGAAATCTTTTTTTGAAAAGTCCTTGGCAATTTGCACAATGTAAGAATTTATTTGGATTGACATTTGGAGAACTTGCTTGTTTACATGGAACAATGACACCTTTTCCTTTTCTAATTACATCTACATTGTGTGCTCGGTCCCCCTGTTTCCTTAGAATAGTCAGTTGGAGCTTTCTTTCCTTGGAGTTCTTTGGATATGAAATGGCCTTAGCAACTTCAGATTGATCTTTGTGAACAAGTTCCAGATGCCTGGCAATTTTGGATTGTGGCTTCTCACAAAAAAGACAGTAATGTTTTTTGGTGTATCTTCTAGATCCATCGTCAGTCTTTTGACTGTGCATGACTGTAAGTGAAGTTATGGAGCTTTCCCCAGATGCGTCAGATTCAGAGTTCCGGTTTCTAGGTCCCTTGTATTTTTTTCTTGTTCCATCTTTAACAGCACGACTGGCCATGGTGGCAGCATTTTTCTTTAATATACTGCCTCCCTCTGAGCTGGTCTCACTTTCACAATCTGACCCTGGCACATATTCATCTTCTGTTATTTCCATGCTGCTTATGGAGTCTTCAGAATCATATCCAAGCATTTGTTTTTTAAACTGAAATTAATCAGAATTCAGCAAATTAAATTTCCTAAATAAAAGGTCTGTGTCACTGAAACAGAACTACAATACCTCCCAATGTCTGTAGAATAAAACTATTTGTTGTATCCATAAAAAAATACCCTATATTTTAAACTGCTAAAAAATTTTTTATAAAAACAAGCATGTGTTACATGCACGCAATTACTCTAGATTAATATCTATTTGCATAAATAAATGCAAAATTAAATGCAAGTTAAACTATGAATGGGTCTAAAGCAGGGATAGGCAACTTCGGTCCTGGAGGGCCACTGTCCTGCAGAGTTTAGCTTCAGCCCTGATAAAAACCTCACCTGCCATTATCTATCTAATCCCGAAAACATTGATTGCCTTGTTCAGGTGCGTTTAATTAGGGTTGGAGCTAAACTCTGCAGGACAGTCGCCTTCCAGGACTGAAGTTCCCTATCCCTGGTCTAAAGTATCAATCAAACATTGAAAGGGTTGCCTTTTAAATGGTTACAAAAATCAGTCAAGATAAAATTAATGAATTCTCCAAACTTTTATGAACTGGGTCCATCATCTATACTTTCTTACCTTGGGATTGGAGTGGGACACATTCCCATCTTCTGCAGAGCTGGAATCTGTGTCCATGTTGTTTTGGAAGGCAACCTGTAATCAGTCAAACATGACAAATATAAAGGTAGAAGGTACTGAGAATTTTACACAAATTATATTATCATGACATTATCATATATTATCATAGACAAGGTGTCCCCATAAAGACAGTTAAAATACAGGTCAATGTCCCCAGAAGGTATCATAAATACTCATTACTACCTATGAGGTTAAAGTGCCAACCAAACTTTCAGGTTTGTTTAGAGGGTGTTTCTATCCATCGTTTGTGATAAGTTGTTTAAAATGTAGAAACTAATATAGTTATATTACAATTTGTCATTCATTACTGTAAATGCATATCATAAATATGTGTAAAAAAATCCAGTATGCCCTAACAGGGTTGGGACAAAGCATGTAATAATGCCATCCTCGCATCGTTCTGTCAAACACATTATGATAAACATTTTTGCTGGGAAATAATTATTACTACAATATAATGTATACTGTGCGGCTCTGAAACTAAATGGTTATAAAAAAAAGTTTAAAAAAAAAACGTATTACCTTATTACAGGTAATATCTTATTACCTGTGTGTCTGTTGGTGAGGGTATCACAGAATCTTCTGCTGGTTGAGTGACTGGATGCGATTCTGGGCCCAGCTAAAAATCAAATAAAAAAATTCAATGATACAGAAAGAGTGTGCAATATTTTTAACTAAAGTACATAAAATTGTAAACTGCAAAAAAAACAAAAAAAAAAAAAAAAAGTGATCATTTCTGTTATGTGTATGCAATGATTTTCCGTTCTCTACATTTATAATTAGTAGTCACTTCTCTAAAGTAATGATCCAACTTATTTGAATTGCGATGTGATTGTATTAGAATTTAGGCATGGACCAGAACAGATTAATAATCTAGTTTAATATCTAATTGCAAAATAAATGCAAGTTATCAAGTATGAATGGGTCTAAAGTATCAATCAAACATTGAAAGGGTTGCCTTTTTAAATGGTTACAAAAATCAGTCAAGATAAAATTAATGAATTCTCCAAACTTTTATGAACTGTGGCCATCATCTATACTTTCTTACCTTGGGATTGGAGTGGGACACATTCCCATCTTCTGCAGAGCTGGAATCTGTGTCCATGTTGTTTTGGAAGGCAACCTGTAATCAGTCAAACATGACAAATATAAAGGTAGAAGGTACTGAGAATTTTACACAAATTATATTATCATGCACATAATGCAATCCCTACTTAAACAAGGTGTCCCCATAAGGCCAGTTAAAATACAGGTCAACGTCCCCAGAAGGTATCATGCAAATAATGCAATACACCCTTAAACAAGGTGTCCCCATAAAGACAGTTAAAATACAGGTCAACGTCCCCAGAAGGTATCATGCAAATAATGCAATCCACCTTAAACAAGGTGTCCCCATAAAGACAGTTAAAATACAGGTCAATGTCCCAGAAGGTATCATGCAAATAATAACAAAGCCTGTAATAATGCCATCCTCGCATCGTTCTGTCAAACACATTATGATAAACATTTTTGCTGGGAAATAATTACTACTACAATATAATGTATACTGTGCGGCTCTGAAACTAAATGGTTATAAAAAAAAGTAAAAAAAAAAAAAACGTATTACCTTATTACAGGTAATATCTTATTACCTGTGTGTCTGTTGGTGAGGGTATCACAGAATCTTCTGCTGGTTGAGTGACTGGATGCGATTCTGGGCCCAGCTAAAAATCAAATAAAAAAATTCAATGATACAGAAAGAGTGTGCAATATTTTTAACTAAAGTACATAAAATTGTAAACTGCAAAAAAAAAAAAAAAAAAAAAAAAAAAAAAAAAAAGTGATCATTTCTGTTATGTGTATGCAATGATTTTCCGTTCTCTACATTTATAATTAGTAGTCACTTCTCTAAAGTAATGATCCAACTTATTTGAATTGCGATGTGATTGTATTAGAATTTAGGCATGGACCAGAACAGATTAATAATCTAGTTTAATATCTAATTGCAAAATAAATGCAAGTTATCAAGTATGAATGGGTCTAAAGTATCAATCAAACATTGAAAGGGTTGCCTTTTAAATGGTTACAAAAATCAGTCAAGATAAAATTAATGAATTCTCCAAACTTTTATGAACTGTGGCCATCATCTATACTTTCTTACCTTGGGATTGGAGTGGGACACATTCCCATCTTCTGCAGAGCTGGAATCTGTGTCCATGTTGTTTTGGAAGGCAACCTGTAATCAGTCAAACATGACAAATATAAAGGTAGAAGGTACTGAGAATTTTACACAAATTATATTATCATGCACATAATGCAATCCCTACTTAAACAAGGTGTCCCCATAAGGCCAGTTAAAATACAGGTCAACGTCCCCAGAAGGTATCATGCAAATAATGCAATACACCCTTAAACAAGGTGTCCCCATAAAGACAGTTAAAATACAGGTCAACGTCCCAGAAGGTATCATGCAAATAATGCAATCCACCCTTAAACAAGGTGTCCCCATAAAGACAGTTAAAATACAGGTCAATGTCCCCAGAAGGTATCATGCAAATAATAACAAAGCCTGTAATAATGCCATCCTCGCATCGTTCTGTCAAACACATTATGATAAACATTTTTGCTGGGAATAATTACTACTACAATATAATGTATACTGTGCGGCTCTGAAACTAAATGGTTATAAAAAAAAGTAAAAAAAAAAAAAACGTATTACCTTATTACAGGTAATATCTTATTACCTGTGTGTCTGTTGGTGAGGGTATCACAGAATCTTCTGCTGGTTGAGTGACTGGATGCGATTCTGGGCCAGCTAAAAATCAAATAAAAAAATTCAATGATACAGAAAGAGTGTGCAATATTTTTAACTAAAGTACATAAAATTGTAAACTGCAAAAAAAAAAAAAAAAAAAAAAAAAAAAAAAAAGTGATCATTTCTGTTATGTGTATGCAATGATTTTCCGTTCTCTACATTTATAATTAGTAGTCACTTCTCTAAAGTAATGATCCAACTTATTTGAATTGCGATGTGATTGTATTAGAATTTAGGCATGGACCAGAACAGATTAATAATCTAGTTTAATATCTAATTGCAAAATAAATGCAAGTTATCAAGTATGAATGGGTCTAAAGTATCAATCAAACATTGAAAGGGTTGCCTTTTAAATGGTTACAAAAATCAGTCAAGATAAAATTAATGAATTCTCCAAACTTTTATGAACTGTGGCCATCATCTATACTTTCTTACCTTGGATTGGAGTGGGACACATTCCCATCTTCTGCAGAGCTGGAATCTGTGTCCATGTTGTTTTGGAAGGCAACCTGTAATCAGTCAAACATGACAAATATAAAGGTAGAAGATACTGAGAATTTTACACAAATTATATTATCATGCACATAATGCAATCCCTACTTAAACAAGGTGTCCCCATAAGGCCAGTTAAAATACAGGTCAACGTCCCCAGAAGGTATCATGCAAATAATGCAATACACCCTTAAACAAGGTGTCCCCATAAAGACAGTTAAAATACAGGTCAACGTCCCCAGAAGGTATCATGCAAATAATGCAATCCACCCTTAAACAAGGTGTCCCCATAAAGACAGTTAAAATACAGGTCAATGTCCCCAGAAGGTATCATGCAAATAATAACAAAGCCTGTAATAATGCCATCCTCGCATCGTTCTGTCAAACACATTATGATAAACATTTTTGCTGGGAAATAATTACTACTACAATATAATGTATACTGTGCGGCTCTGAAACTAAATGGTTATAAAAAAAAGTAAAAAAAAAAAAAACGTATTACCTTATTACAGGTAATATCTTATTACCTGTGTGTCTGTTGGTGAGGGTATCACAGAATCTTCTGCTGGTTGAGTGACTGGATGCGATTCTGGGCCCAGCTAAAAATCAAATAAAAAAATTCAATGATACAGAAAGAGTGTGCAATATTTTTAACTAAAGTACATAAAATTGTAAACTGCAAAAAAAAAAAAAAAAAAAAAAAAAAGTGATCATTTCTGTTATGTGTATGCAATGATTTTCCGTTCTCTACATTTATAATTAGTAGTCACTTCTCTAAAGTAATGATCCAACTTATTTGAATTGCGATGTGATTGTATTAGAATTTAGGCATGGACCAGAACAGATTAATAATCTAGTTTAATATCTAATTGCAAAATAAATGCAAGTTATCAAGTATGAATGGGTCTAAAGTATCAATCAAACATTGAAAGGGTTGCCTTTTAAATGGTTACAAAAATCAGTCAAGATAAAATTAATGAATTCTCCAAACTTTTATGAACTGTGGCCATCATCTATACTTTCTTACCTTGGGATTGGAGTGGGACACATTCCCATCTTCTGCAGAGCTGGAATCTGTGTCCATGTTGTTTTGGAAGGCAACCTGTAATCAGTCAAACATGACAAATATAAAGGTAGAAGATACTGAGAATTTTACACAAATTATATTATCATGCACATAATGCAATCCCTACTTAAACAAGGTGTCCCCATAAGGCCAGTTAAAATACAGGTCAACGTCCCCAGAAGGTATCATGCAAATAATGCAATCCACCCTTAAACAAGGTGTCCCCATAAAGACAGTTAAAATACAGGTCAATGTCCCCAGAAGGTATCATGCAAATAATAACAAAGCCTGTAATAATGCCATCCTCGCATCGTTCTGTCAAACACATTATGATAAACATTTTTGCTGGGAAATAATTATTACTACAATATAATGTATACTGTGCGGCTCTGAAACTAAATGGTTATAAAAAAAAGTAATTAAAAAAAAACGTATTACCTTATTACAGGTAATATCTTATTACCTGTGTGTCTGTTGGTGAGGGTATCACAGAATCTTCTGCTGGTTGAGTGACTGGATGCGATTCTGGGCCCAGCTAAAAATCAAATAAAAAAATTCAATGATACAGAAAGAGTGTGCAATGATTTTAACTAAATTACATGAAATTATAAAATCACTGTTGTTCCCTATCCCTTATGCCTATTAATTACAAACAGTAATGTTTTCCATCAAATATATAGGAGGTTCGGGCTGTGGAGGAAGAGAGTAGACAAGCTAGGGCAGTAGCCATGAAACAGCAAGGCAGCTGGACCAGGTGGGGAAGTGTCCGAGGAGAGCTCTCAGTTGGAAGGACAACTGGAACATGGAGGGGCATTGAATAAAGTTCCTCCTTAGCTCTGTATATGATGTCCTGCCAACATCAACAAACCTTCAAAGATGGAGACTGACAGATGATCCCTCCTGTGCGTTGTGCAAGAGACCGGCAAACCTGGAGCACATTCTGTCGTCCTGTCGGGCAGGCCTGACTGAAGGGAGGTTCAGGTGGCGCCATGATCAGGTGCTCGCACAGCTGGCTGACGGACTGGAAAAGGAGAGGAAGCGGAAAAGAACCAAGGGCCAAGATAGAGGTCCCCGCTTCATTTGCTTCCTCAGGCCTGGGGAGAAGGCAGGCAAGGAGGGCAGATGTTTAGGGATCCTAGGTACAGCAGAGGACTGGGAAATGAGACTTGATTTGGGGAGGCAACTCAAGTTTCCAGAGGAAATTGCCGTGACCAGCCTTCGACCAGGAATCGTGGTCTGGTCCCAGGCAACAAGACAGGTGGCCCTAATAGAGCTGACAGTACCCTGGGAGGAAAGGATTGAGGAGGCACATGAACGCAAGTTAGGGAAGTATCAGTCCCTCATCACTGAGAGCCAGCAGAGGGGTTGGAGAGCCTGGAATCTACCGGTGGAGGTTCTCTACCAGGGGGTTCCCAGGACAATCACTTTGGAGAGCATTGGGGATGCTTGGGGTTAGAGGGGCAACCCGCAAGAACCTAGTGAACAAGATAGCAGAGCAGCCAGAGACAGCATCCAGATGGCTGTGGTTGAAGAGGAGCGAGCGGTGGCTAAACCAGGCTGGCACAGAGGGCGGGGGTCAGAGCGGAGTGGTATAGTCCTGAATGACCGAGGGAGCAGTTCCAGGACGCTCTGCTGTCAAGCCTCATGGAGGCTTCTAGCCCCTCATGGGCTAGTTGATGAAACACCGGTGAAGTGGGGTGCCCATTTGAAAACCCAGTAAAGTCAACAGGTCTGAACCATTCAGCTCTGCCCTCAGGTGAAGACGTCTGAAGGAAGCGGCTTCCATGCTAGCCACCCACATAAGGAGCAGGACGTAACTCCAGCCAAGTGTGGTGGCTGCGATATACCCTATTGTTTAAAGACATATAAATAGCAGTAGGAAAATCTTATTTTTTTCAATTCATGCAAATCCTGGTTTACCTTAGCCTCGGTGTTACCAGGCTGCCTTGCGCACGATTTGATTCACGCTGCTAAGGCAGCCTGGACACCATGGACTAAATTTTCCCCTGAAAAAGGGAACCAATCACAGAACGGGGAGGGATCAGCAAGACAATGACAACATCTTTGTGACACATCGAAGAAGTTTCTATGGATCCAACATGGCATCAGACGCGAAATTACCTTTCAATGCAGCTTTAAATATTGTTAAGTAGTATAGAATGAAAAAAAAATTTAAAAAACAGCAACTGTTAAACAATTTCATAAGCAAGAGCATTTGATAGACATTCATAGCGCCCAGTAAACGGCTCTGGGCATTCGTAAACCGCGTCTAGAATGAGAATTGGTCTGACGTTAGCCAGGCTGGGTTTACCTGCTACATTTTTTAGAACAGAAAATATTTTACACAAGATCTGTCAACGTACAATAAAATGACTCACCATTTTATCCAAGTTTGCCAATTGCAGTAGGAGTAAGACTCGCTGCCTTTGAAGAGCGTTTCGCTCCTCTGCCGTAGATTCATACCGGTTTTCACACCTATTGTGGTGTTCTTTTAATTTGTGAATCCTGGCCTGCAATTATTGAACCAAATATAACAATCAGTGTACCAGAATTATTGTTTAAAAAAAGAGTGAATGCAATACTACAAAAAGGTTGATAAATTAGTTTGGATTTAAGTAACCTGGAAAGGTCTTTTACTTTAGACAGACTGAAACTAGGAATGATAAGATTTTCATGTTGAAAAAATGAATTTCTTTTGTTATGTACACCAGTCCTTTTAAACAACTTAATGAAAACACATCACAAACCTTTTAAATGTAAATATGACAGGGTGCCAGCAAAGAAATGAAAGTTTGGAAACCGGACTTGTCTTTGTTACGGTCATGCGGTATGGATTAGTTATTCGACTAAAGTCAGAGTTATCAAGTCACCCTCAAACCATCATGCTCATGCTACCAACAAAAGCTATGTGTATTAATCTCTTTATAGTTTAAGTAATTACCTTACTCTACTTTATAGCACTGTTTTGATGAGAAACAAATGTGGAAGTCTTTCCTACTTATATCAAAACACCATGTATCCACATTGTTATTGTGTAATTTCAAATTTAAAGTCCAGAACATGAGAAATGCTTTAGTGTCCATTAGTGCTGTGTTGAAAAAAAATCGATTCACCAATTCTGAATCGATTTTCATATTAATTTCTAAAGATCGATCCGTAGCTCAGAAAATCGATTTATTAATAGGCCTACATTTTCCCACATTCCCCGTGGACTTTAACTTGCCGCGAGTGATCCCTATGTGTGCATTGAAAGCTTTCACTCAGCGCGCACATTGTTACGACAATGGACTTTGATTCATTAAACCGTTCATTCAACGAACACGTTCAAAAAAGCAGATTCTTTAAAATAGATGTACTGAAACAATTTCAAGGTGTTAATTATTTTTAACTTTGAGTTCCACTTAAGGCTCAGCTGAGCAGCAATGCGTCGCATGGGCAATTGCCATTGATTCAATGCGTGACTCACTGATTTTATTTCCCCGTGGTTTCCTCGTGCTGTGGGATGCTGATCCGCGCTGCTGCTGACCATTTATGGTAAATACCCGTAACGTGAACATTAAAAGGATGATTCGACAACTACTTTGCGTTCCTTTGACATGGCACGGCAAGCTTTCCGTGAATACATATGACTTCAGAGACAGACGCAGGTAATCGCACGCACTCTGCCGATCTCTCTTATTCACTGTCTGTGCGAAGCCTCTGTAGGCTACACATCACCACGATAAACAGTCTCGTTATCATTATGAACTTGTCTAACATTCAATACACATGCATGAAGTTCAAAACAAGAAGGGTATAGCCTTATAAAAAACGTTATCATCACGGTTCCTGCGGTTACTTGCAATCCTCCTGCTGATGTACCTCTGCGTCCTCTGTCGTCTACACCAGTGCAAGTTAGTGAAAGCAGTTATCAACACGGAGGGGGGATTGTTCTTTACAACAATCAATAGGCTACTACATTATTTTGCAGTTGAATGTCTATAATAAATTATTACAGGACTGTAGTTATGCAACATATCGATACTATTATTAATAATAGTATCAATATGTTGCATAGCTACAGTCCTGTAATTCAGGTAACAGCTGGAAAAAAATGCTTTTTTCAAAAACAAATATCTAAATCTCAAAGATCGGATCAGATCGAATCGAATAATGATAATCGATTCAAGATCTTGAGTCGGAATCGAATCGATTCTTGAAATTTGAATCGAAACAGCACTAGTGTCCATACTTATGTGGGCCAATATTATGCTTGAAGTATTAGTATAGCAACAAATAGATGTGGAAGTGACTTTTTGGGCTATGCAAGAGTATAGTTCAATGTTCATTTGACTTTGGTACAAGACACTGGAAACTTTGACAATCATGAATACATAGTGCACATCCACAAACTGACCGAGTCTGAGGCACTTACCTTTGAGCGCTCACTCTGCAAATTATCATCTGCAAGAACAACATTATTTGTTAGTCCTTATTGATACTTTTCACTTCCTCTACACAATAACTAATCAATCAGTCTAGAGTTTGAGACCTGCCACCAGTGATATGTGTGATGGGGTAGGGGGGGCAGTTGCTTTTACCTGAGACGGGCATGTTGGACAGGGTGTCTGTGCCAGTGAAGTGTGTTTTGGGGGCTAGGAGAGGAAACCACACAGATGGCAACAAAAGTTAAAATATAGTAAGAGGACATTTACACAGAGAAAAACATGGGACATCCTTGCAGAGGAGAATAGGTATTGATCAGACAGCACCACTGCATTTATTCTGCATATGTTGTTCTAATCTTTGTAATATAGGCATGTAATTCAATCCTTTTTAAAGGATGCATGAGCGCAACAAAAGTTAAATTAACTTTTTGCTACAACTTTGTATGTTCTAATTGTGTGTACACAGTGGGTACAAATAAAATAGACAAATCCAAAACAGAATCCACTGTGATATCTGAACTAATGCAACTCATTGAAACTGTGGAAATAAAGGTATTTGGACCATAAATAAAAACCAGTTGGTGAGATCAAACCTTTGGCATAGGAAATGCATCTCAAAAACAAATTGGCCTGAACAATTAAAGAGCAGCGTGTCAGGAAAGGGTTTGAGTTGTAGTGGTCTATACCTGTGTCAGCAGGCTGTGAGTCTGCAGTTGTGACAGTGGTGAGTTCAATCCCTACTGAATCAGCATGTACTATAGCAGCAGCAGACTTTATACTCTCAATCTACAAAGGGAAATGTTAAAAGTTGTAATGTGCAATTGACCTTTGGCTAAGCCCCGCCCCCCTTAGTTTCTGTTGCTACATCCGTCGAACTTCATCTGGGCTCTGGTTTGGTATCAACATGGCTTATGCTGTGACAGCTCTTCCTGCTGAAATGTTATCAAACTTTTATAAAGCAGCAAATAAAGTGTCCGATAGAAGTAGGCAAAAGGGGCTGCAATATGCGTTCGAAGGCTATATTCAAGACATACAGGTGAAACAACAAGGCATCCAAAATAGAGGCAAAACAAAAGCATAACATTACCGGTCACAGTCAAAAAATGAACCACTGCATTTCCTACTAATGGAGACGGAGGCTGGACAACAATATCAGGGAGCAACACTGTTCATGCAAAGCTGGGTAGGTCTCTATTCACTTCTATAGGCGTTATTACAAAGCAAACGGACTACACGAGTATAACGTTGTATTTATTAGCAGCATGTGCTAGCATATCAACAACTGGTGTGAGAACCGAAACCATAACCCAAAACATTATAAAACGGTCTAACTATAAGTTCACAGTAATGTTAGAAGCAAAAAAGATGTGCTTGTTGATCTTTGCGGGGTTTAGCTGACTGAGGACGTCCACACAGTTTAATCCAAAGACGACACTTGTCAGGATTTGACTTCGCTTTTGGTAAGGGAAAAAACGGACACCCCCCTTTAACCTCTCTGGGAAACGCGTATCTGTGTTACAAATGCCCCAGGCACAACGTTTAACTATATTTTAGATAAAACTACGACGGAAATAGCCGGCCGAGACCAACAATATGAGACGCCTATGTTGAAAGTCAATGGAGCGCTGTGAAAAAGTGTCGGACCTCTGTGGGAGCTCGTTCTTGGCTGCGCTGTGATTGGTCAATCTACATTCTAGGGCGTGGCTTAGCCAAAGGCGAATTGCATAAGGCACACCTAAAAGTTCAACAGCTGCTCCACAACTCACATGTGGGCCAATATTATGCTTGAAGTATTAGTATAGCAACAAATAGATGTGGAAGTGACTTTTTGGGCTATGCAAGAGTATAGTTCAATGTTCATTTGACTTTGGTACAAGACACTGGAAACTTTGACAATCATGAATACATAGTGCACATCCACAAACTGACCGAGTCTGGGGCACTTACCTTTGAGCGCTCACTCTGCAAATTATCATCTGCAAGAACAACATAATTTGTTAGTCCTTATTGATACTTTTCACTTCCTCTACACAATAACTAATCAATCAGTCTAGAGTTTGAGACCTGCCACCAGTGATATGTGTGATGGGGTAGGGGGGGCAGTTGCTTTTACCTGAGACGGGCATGTTGGACAGGGTGTCTGTGCCAGTGAAGTGTGTTTTGGGGGCTAGGAGAGGAAACCACACAGATGGCAACAAAAGTTAAAATATAGTAAGAGGACATTTACACAGAGAAAAACATGGGACATCCTTGCAGAGGAGAATAGGTATTGATCAGACAGCACCACTGCATTTATTCTGCATATGTTGTTCTAATCTTTGTAATATAGGCATGTAATTCAATCCTTTTTAAAGGATGCATGAGCGCAACAAAAGTTAAATTAACTTTTTGCTACAACTTTGTATGTTCTAATTGTGTGTACACAGTGGGTACAAATAAAATAGACAAATCCAAAACAGAATCCACTGTGATATCTGAACTAATCAGGCATGTGATTGGCTGAAAACAAAAAAGCAGGAAAATATACCGAGCGATCGATATATATCCCAATATCTTTTCCGCAAAAAGTGAGAGCAAATGTTCAAAGTCAAATATAGTCTTCACTGTATAAATTACACATTGATTCTTATTAAAGCTACTATTAAAGTTCTCAGTCAAGAGCAGTGAGTGATTTCCTCTGTGTTTTGTTGTTTAATTAACATTAAATAGATAGTTCTCCCAAAAATTGTAATTGTTATCATTTACTCTCTCAAGTTGTTTTAAACCTGAATAAGTTTCTTTCTTCTGTTTAAGTTATTTGGAAGAATGTGGGTAACCAAACAGTTGCTGTACCCCAGTGATTTCCATAGTAAATTTTTCCCTATGGAAGTCAATGGGGACAAGCAACTGTCTGGTTACCCACATTCTTCCAAAATATCTTCTTTTCTGTTTAGCACAAGAAATAAATTAATACAGGTTTGGAACAACATTACAGTGAATAAATAATGACAGAATTTTTATTTTGGGGTTAACTATCCCTTTAAGAACAAGCGGCTGCATTTATTATTAGGGCTACTGTCACTTTAAGACCTGTACGCGACACGTGCAATATAAAAGGAGCATTTGATAAGCAGATTTCTCTCAATTTTCTCGGTTTGCTTTGAGTTTAGACATAACCAAATGTTCTTATGTAAACCTTGTGTGTATTTGAGAGTATTAGCGAAATAATACTCGAAAGATAACTTATTCCAGCAACCAGGCGCTGTTAGACAAGCTTTTAGTGCATGTGCACGTCGGTTGTTCGCGCTCAGAACAGCGCATCAGCAGTGAATGACATGTTTAACCAGCAAGGCTTTAAAAGCACATGCAAATTAACTTCAGTGAACTCGCTGAACTGATGCAGCTGTTCTTCTGCGTTAATATTGCGAGTATTTGTCGCGTTGTACACTATGCTGTTGAGACGGAGGTGTCAGGATGGCAACTGACAGAATGCACGATATAGCTGCTACATATTTCTACAAAAGCAGTCAGCAGCTTGCTTGGAGCAAGGATCATAGCGCAAATTTGAAATATATCGATATATCGCCCAGCCCTGGTGACCTAACTGTGATGTTATTGTCAACTGACAACGATACCAGCGCGAGAGCGACTGCGATACGAAATTGAGCAGGTGAAATACGTCCTTGTCGATACTTTGAAAGGAACTTTCTGTTCGCACGTCAGCCAGTTATGGGTTATGTCCTCATATTCTCTCCTTTTCACTCCGGCTGCCGACACCCGTCCCCCTCTTTTTTTTTTCTTTTTTTTTTTTTAACAGATCTGCATGATTCACGTAGGTCAAATTTTCAGGTCGGAAAATCCGGAATTCTGGATTAATCCGGAAAAATCACATCCCTGACTAATGCAACTCATTGAAACTGTGGAAATAAAGGTATTTGGACCATAAATAAAAACCAGTTGGTGTGATCAAACCTTTGGCATAGGAAATGCATCTCAAAAACAAATTGGCCTGAACAATTAAAGAGCAGCGTGTCAGGAAAGGGTTTGAGTTGTAGTGGTCTATACCTGTGTCAGCAGGCTGTGAGTCTGCAGTTGTGACAGTGGTGAGTTCAATCCCTACTGAATCAGCATGTACTATAGCACCAGCAGACTTTATACTCTCAATCTACAAAGGGAAATGTTAAAAGTTGTAATGTGCAATTGCATAGGCCACACCCAAAAGTTCAACAGCTGCTCCACAACTCGCATGCATTTTTGCATTTGATGAGATTTAAACAGTATGCGCTTAATAAATTCCTACCTCAGGTTTCACGCTAGGTAGTACATCCTTGTTAACCTGCTAAGTAAACCAAGATAGAAACAAATTCAAATACTGCTTTCTTGTTTTGAGTGTCTGCAAAAAATTGCATGAAATATAAACTCTTCTCCTGGTAGGTGGCATATTGGATATAGAAATAAAAAGGTAACTCACCTGTGCTCTCCATGCCCAGTTTGAGTCACCATAGTTGTAACTCAATTCTTCTCCAGCTGTAATATCTTGAATCGCGAAGAGACACAAGTGTGGTTGCTCATTTACTTCTATGGTTTTCATTTTGCAATTCGGTCTTCTGTGGTCGTCGTTCACAAGTCTCCCAAGAGAGCAGTCCTCTTCAGATGCATCAATGCTGTATAGAAACATTTCTTTCATTAATATGTATTAGCACAGAGGTTCGACTATGAAGAGGCAGTATTTGGTTAATTTAAATTATTTGAGCAGGATGTACCAATGAATACAATTCTATAAGCAACTATTGTATGGAATAATGCATTTGTTAGAACAAATTGGACAAATGACTCAAACCATGTTCTTTGCCTTTTCTGAAAATAGGGTTTCACATGAGCCTAGCTGTTTAGTTCAAGTTACCAGGCAATTTACAGAGATATGCACATCTCTCGCTCATTCCCAGATATGCAGCTTAATATAACATTATGAAGGTGTACCGAAGAGCAGAAAACTGTCGCTGTGAAGGTGTACCGATGAGCAGAAAACTGTCGCTGTGAAGGTGTACCGATGAGCAGAAAACTGTCGCTGTGAAGGTGTACCGATGAGCAGAAAACTGTCGCTGTGAAGGTGTACCGAAGAGCAGAAAACTGTCGCTGTGAAGGTGTACCGATGAGCAGAAAACTGTCGCTGTGAAGGTGTACCGATGAGCAGAAAACTGTCGCTGTGAAGGTGTACCGAAGAGCAGAAAACTGTCGCTGTGAAGGTGTACCGAAGAGCAGAAAACTGTCGCTGTGAAGGTGTACCGATGAGCAGAAAACTGTCGCTGTGAAGGTGTACCGATGAGCAGAAAACTGTCGCTGTGAAGGTGTACCGATGAGCAGAAAACTGTCGCTGTGAAGGTGTACCGAAGAGCAGAAAACTGTCGCTGTGAAGGTGTACCGAAGAGCAGAAAACTGTCGCTGTGAAGGTGTACCGAAGAGCAGAAAACTGTCGCTGTGAAGGTGTACCGATGAGCAGAAAACTGTCGCTGTGAAGGTGTACCGATGAGCAGAAAACTGTCGCTGTGAAGGTGTACCGATGAGCAGAAAACTGTCGCTGTGAAGGTGTACCGAAGAGCAGAAAACTGTCGCTGTGAAGGTGTACCGAAGAGCAGAAAACTGTCGCTGTGAAGGTGTACCGAAGAGCAGAAAACTGTCGCTGTGAAGGTGTACCGATGAGCAGAAAACTGTCGCTGTGAAGGTGTACCGATGAGCAGAAAACTGTCGCTGTGAAGGTGTACCGATGAGCAGAAAACTGTCGCTGTGAAGGTGTACCGATGAGCAGAAAACTGTCGCTGTGAAGGTGTACCGATGAGCAGAAAACTGTCGCTGTGAAGGTGTACCGATGAGCAGAAAACTTTCGCTGTGAAGGTGTACCGATGAGCAGAAAACTGTCGCTGTGAAGGTGTACCGATGAGCAGAAAACTGTCGCTGTGAAGGTGTACCGATGAGCAGAAAACTGTCGCTGTGAAGGTGTACCGATGAGCAGAAAACTGTCGCTGTGAAGGTGTACCGAAGAGCAGAAAACTGTCGCTGTGAAGGTGTACCGATGAGCAGAAAACTGTCGCTGTGAAGGTGTACCGATGAGCAGAAAACTGTCGCTGTGAAGGTGTACCGATGAGCAGAAAACTGTCGCTGTGAAGGTGTACCGATGAGCAGAAAACTGTCGCTGTGAAGGTGTACCGATGAGCAGAAAACTGTCGCTGTGAAGGTGTACCGATGAGCAGAAAACTGTCGCTGTGAAGGTGTACCGATGAGCAGAAAACTGTCGCTGTGAAGGTGTACCGATGAGCAGAAAACTGTCGCTGTGAAGGTGTACCGATGAGCAGAAAACTGTCGCTGTGAAGGTGTACCGATGAGCAGAAAACTGTCGCTGTGAAGGTGTACCGAAGAGCAGAAAACTGTCGCTGTGAAGGTGTACCGATGAGCAGAAAACTGTCGCTGTGAAGGTGTACCGATGAGCAGAAAACTGTCGCTGTGAAGGTGTACCGATGAGCAGAAAACTGTCGCTGTGAAGGTGTACCGATGAGCAGAAAACTTTCGCTGTGAAGGTGTACCGATGAGCAGAAAACTGTCGCTGTGAAGGTGTACCGAAGAGCAGAAAACTGTCGCTGTGAAGGTGTACCGATGAGCAGAAAACTGTCGCTGTGAAGGTGTACCGATGAGCAGAAAACTGTCGCTGTGAAGGTGTACCGATGAGCAGAAAACTGTCGCTGTGAAGGTGTACCGATGAGCAGAAAACTGTCGCTGTGAAGGTGTACCGATGAGCAGAAAACTGTCGCTGTGAAGGTGTACCGATGAGCAGAAAACTGTCGCTGTGAAGGTGTACCGATGAGCAGAAAACTTTCGCTGTGAAGGTGTACCGATGAGCAGAAAACTGTCGCTGTGAAGGTGTACCGATGAGCAGAAAACTGTCGCTGTGAAGGTGTACCGATGAGCAGAAAACTGTCGCTGTGAAGGTGTACCGATGAGCAGAAAACTGTCGCTGTGAAGGTGTACCGATGAGCAGAAAACTGTCGCTGTGAAGGTGTACCGAAGAGCAGAAAACTGTCGCTGTGAAGGTGTACCGATGAGCAGAAAACTGTCGCTGTGAAGGTGTACCGATGAGCAGAAAACTGTCGCTGTGAAGGTGTACCGATGAGCAGAAAACTGTCGCTGTGAAGGTGTACCGATGAGCAGAAAACTTTCGCTGTGAAGGTGTACTGAAGAGCAGAAAACTGTCGCTGTGAAGGTGTACCGATGAGCAGAAAACTGTCGCTGTGAAGGTGTACCGATGAGCAGAAAACTGTCGCTGTGAAGGTGTACCGATGAGCAGAAAACTGTCGCTGTGAAGGTGTACCGATGAGCAGAAAACTGTCGCTGTGAAGGTGTACCGATGAGCAGAAAACTGTCGCTGTGAAGGTGTACTGAAGAGCAGAAAACTGTCGCTGTGAGGTAGGGGTGGAACGGTACACAGAAGTCACGGTTCGGTACGATTTCGGTACAATGGAGGGAAAAGCAAAACAAATACAAAAGGCGTTGTATTTTTTTAATAAGTTTTATTAATAAAGGCATAGAACCATAGACAATAGTTTTATATAATTAGTTTATTCATTAAATGAATAAAAAGGCAAAAAGACCTTGCGATATGTTTGGTAATTGTACCTGAAATTAAAATTATTTTGCTATATTTCAGATCAATATATTTGTTTTCCTTAATTTTAATTAACATTATTTATTAACAATGTAACATTATTCTTATCCGAATTATAACTAATTGATTTCTGTATAAAATAATACTACCATTAAAAACACATTCAATTTTCTTTTTTAATCAAATGCAGAATGTGTAAGATTAGGGCTCCGAGGACAAGAAATGAAAAACCAATGCAATATGACAAATGTCCAAAAGATGGGACCCACAGACTGTTTTGAAATGGAGTTGGATAAATATGTTTTGCTTTTAAAACAGTGTGTAAGTGATTTTGGTTGAGTGACAATTGTAGGTTATAGTTTGTGAAGAGTTTACAGTGTTACAGTTTTATTGAGACTGTACACAAATAGAAGTAAACACTTTGCAGGTTTAATGATCTGAAAAAAAAAAAAAAAGTGTTTTTTATGCTTCTACTGTTCGATCGAGCCCACCCGCGCCCACCCAATTCCGCGTCTATCCTAGTTCGACGCTAGTCCAAAGCGAATAGGACGCGCGAATAAAGCCAATGTTTGAAGTGAACGCGCGTTCAGAGCATAGACAGTTCAAAGCTAGCCGATGGTACAGATGATGTGCCCTAAAGAACCTGCGTATCTAACAGTAGTTCCGCATTACATTAATTTATTTGCACGTGTGTTTTATTTATTTTTATACCGTGTATTCTTCGTGTAAATTCGTGCACTGAACCGTGACCCCCATACCATTTTGTTTCAATAGGAATACATGTACCGTTCCACCCCTACTGTGAAGGTGTACTGATGGGTAGAAAACTGACATTGAAGTAGAACTGACAAAGGCACTAACATAAAGAGAACAACTCTAGATTTTAGACATGGCCCTTGCATTGTAACATTGCTACATAGCCACTTCATCTACTTACCACCATGTTTTACTCTTCCACTTAAAATCAAAAAGGAAAACTTTTGCAGACTCGTTGTACTCAATAGTTTGGAGCTCTGCCTGCTTCTGTGACAGTAGTTTCCCTCGGTACTCAACAACAAAGTCACCTTTGTATATGAAGTCAGTGGCAAAAACACCTCGGCCTAAGACAAAAGAAAAAGATTAAATTAGCAGTTGGTAGGCTCAGTGGTATAGAGCATGCTTTGTGTGTACGACGTCCTGGGTTCAAATCCCAGCTGCTCCCAATCGGCCAATCTGGTTAAATAAAAGGTTTAAAAAAAATAGGGCTGCAACAACTAATCAATAATATAAATTATAAAAATCGTTGTCAACAATGTCATTATCGATTAGTTGGTCTGATTACGTCATATATATATATATATATATTTATATATATTCTTTATAACAAAGTTGTCTGTATTAAGTAGATTGTGTTTAACACACAAAAGAGTGATTATCAGATCATCTAGGCCTCGTCCTGCTCGCCACAACCCTGATTTAGGGTTTTATTTAGTTATAATATGCAAAAAAATGAAAAAGAATTTTTTATCCGATTGATTAATTGAAAAAATAATCGTCTGATTAATTGATTATCAAAATAATCATTAGTTGCAGCCCTAAAAAAAAAATGGATTACTGTAATCAGGCTGGGCACAGAAGCAAAATTGATTAAAGCACTGTGCTGAGGGATAAAATGGTATATCAAATGTCTAAAAGCTGTTGAATTGTCAGTTTTATTATCCCTGTGTACTAGCAACCACCATTGTGCAGTGTGCCCTTGAGCAAGAGACTTGATCACTGAAGGCATTTCACTGATTCCAACTAAATCATCTTCAGGAGTTTAATAGGTGGTTTGCAGTCATGTGATTGTGTTGACGCGTGGAATGCAGATGGAGGGCAAGGAATGAAGAGCGAGATGGAGGAAAATCCATACTGTACTACTTTAGACGCAATTACAAGAGAAATAAACAGAAAATCGAAACATGTTAGAAGTGATCCTTACGTTATAAGGAGGACCGATTTTCAACTGAATTGAGAGATTTGCCCGCCATCGAGGCTATATCAGCAACTAACTCGTCTTACAGACATACTTTGACTTTACAAAGTTCGGAAACTGGTATGTTACACAAACAGCCACATAAGTGTATTTAAACACCTGAATAATGTAATTATAAGCCACATAAATAATGTATATTAACTCACATTTGACGAAGTGATCACTGCACACACACAGGCATTTTCCCATTCGGCTTCTCCCGACCGCAGACATAGGTTTGCAAGGCATTTTTCCTAGTGTTTTTCTGTCAATTTCTTATATTTTCCCCCCTTATGAACAACAACTTTTGGCACATGATAAAAACTCCTCATGGTTTGATCGATTTGAGCAACCATAAACAACGCAAAACATAGGCATTTTGAGTGTGTTATAGTGCTAGGGCTGGGCGATATATCGCACGATATTGTTATGCGCGTCTAATCAGTAAAGCCGGTTCCTTGATTAGCAGTAAATCACCTTCACCTGCTTTCAAACGGACGATATGAGTGTTAAATTAACACTCAAGAGCGTTAAAGTTAATGAGATAATTAAGTGATTAATTTAGTGATGATTGAGCATTATTGAAGACACCTGATGATAACAAGTTGAATCACTGAATGACAAAATCTCAAATTGTTAGTCACCGTTATGGAGATCAGTGTTTGCTTTAGTTGGGCTCTTGACCCTTATACTTTCACTTTAAATTTTGTTTGTCTGCTATTATTGATTTATGGCAGTCAAATAAACAAAGACATATGTGATCTAATAGTGTTGGTTATGTTTTGACATAATCATGCTGTGATCTGAAAAATTAAATTTATTCAGATGATTTGCTTTAACTTGTTAGCAACAGTTTTGTGGTTCTACTGCATATCTGTATTTTTATTATAGCCTAAAATATTAATAAAAATATTCTGATCAAACCATTATCTTTATTTAGAAACACAGAGATCAATAATCAGCCTGTCTATCTCAAGTGTGGTGACATTAATCAGGCATGTGATTGGCTAAGGACAAAAAAGCAGGAAAATATACGAGCCCCCAACAACACCGCATACAATATCGTGCGATATATTGCCCAGCCCTATATAGTGCTTCCTAAATATAGAAAATCACTTCCTGCCCTCCATCTGCGTTGCGCGCCATGACAATGCAGTTGCGTGACGTCACGTGAAAACAAGCTATATTTACCTTTATAGTTATTTATAAATCGCTGCTGGAGACATTGTTTATCAATCCCCGCTTGTATATGGTATTCTGCATCTTGGTTTGGACGAAGTCGTCGTCGTCTTCTCTCCATGAGTGAAAATCAAATCAACCATTAACCTAAGTAGCAAGAGACATTTAAATGCATTAAATAACCCATTGCCAATTGTATGACAAAGTAGTTCTTAGCCTGTCAGATATAACACAAGAATAATCTTTATATGTCCCGGATTGTCCGACCTTGAGAATGTTGCCAGCTTTTCTGCCGCCATAAAACCTAACCACGTGCAGTGCAATGACAACAGACCCTATACTCTATTTAACTGGCTAATAGTCATAGTGGTCCATCCTAACATACAAGCTAACTACTGTAGTGTGCATGCATATCATATAAAACACACATTTATCAATTATCAATCACATTTGTGATTAAATTATACAATACACACACCAAAAAAAAAAGGATTTATGGCATGCATTAAGTTTCAGTCGTGCCTAGCTAATCGGTCTTCGTCAGACACGTGGGTTTGTTGTGTGTGACGTCACCGCGGCGCCATTTTTGAGGTATCGCTACTGACTGTGAGCATTGAAGAGATTACGAGAGTAGAGATAACAAGTAAATAACTCGTAAAACTGCAGAAGCACAAAAAAACTGAGAAAATGCCGTACCGCAATAAACTCAATAAATGTGGCAGGTACCGTTTTTTTGAGAAATTGTGATCAATTCAGAACATAGATCCATATATGAGCTCAGCTGACTGCAGTAAGCTAGAGTGCTGATCCCGCATTGCTTTCTCATAATCATATTTGGGCATTATCAACTATCTTGTTTATAGTATAAAGGGCATATAACATTCCCAGTGAACAATTTAAAAACTATACATCTCTTAAAGCCCGAGGACAATTCACCAAGTTACTGTATCCTTCGGTAGGAATGTAAATAAAACCTGTAAAGTTAGTAACAGCAAAGATAGGTTTGCTGTATTGCTGATGATAGTCATGTTAAGGATGGTTTATTTTGAAAAAAGAATGAAAAAAACAATTCTCCAACAACAGAAAACCCTAGCATCGATACCTTACAAATGGCGGCTACGCCCATAGTGCACTTCGTTTATCACGAGTGAGACGTCACCTGACACAGACCGATAAGTCGGTTAGCTTGGTAGAGGTAGTTAGCTAAATAATTTACATTTACATTGCACATAGGCGCGTTAGCAAACTAACGTTAGCTAACATGATACTGACTTAACCCGACTGAAAAGAAAACTGTAAAGTTAAAATTATCGCTAGCAAGGCCTGCTTTGTTAATAACCTTCTCCATAATATATGGTTGTGGCATTTGTTATTCACATGAATTACAATTGAAATAAAAGTGTTTAAAAGCTTACCTTGAAGATGAACACGTTGATTGATGCAGCACCTGCTCGTCCAGTGTGTCACGAGATCCAATCATTAGATGTAGCTAATCATCCAGACGAGAGAAGCGCGCGAGTATAGGTGTGGGGGAGGGGTTGACTATGTGGGGACTCCTGTCAGATATAACACAAGAATAATCTTTATATGTCCCATATGTCCGACCTTGAGAATGTTGCCAGCTTTTCTGCCGCCATACAACCTAACCACGTGCAGTGCAATGACAACAGATCCTTTACTCTATTTAACTTGATAATTGTCATAGTCCATCCTAACATACAAGCTAACTAACGTTACTGTAGTGTGCATATCACATTATCACATAAAACACACATTTATCGATTATCAATCACATTTGTGATTAAATTACAACACACGCAAAAAAGGGATTTATGGCATCTAAGTTAAGTCGTGCCTAGCTAATAAGTCGGTTAGCTTGGTAGAGGTAGTTAGCTAAATAGTTTACATTTTGATTGCACATGTATAGGCGCGATAGCAAACTAGCTAACATGATACTGACTTAACCCGACTGAACAGAAAACTGTAAAGTTAAAATTATCGCTAACAAGGCCTGCTTTGTTAATAACCTTCTCCATAATATATGGTTGTGGTATTTGTTATTCACATGAATTACAATTGAAATAAAAGTGTTTAGCTTACCTTGATGATGAACACGTTGATTGATGCAGCACCTGCTCGTCCAGTGTGTCACGACTCACGAGATGCAATCATTAGATGTAATCATCCAGACGAGAGAAGCGCGCGCGAGTATAGGTGTGGGGGAGGGGTTGACTATGTGGGGACTCAGATAGTCTTAACCAGGACATACGCCGGTCTCGAGTGTGTGTGTATAAGATGGAAAAACTCACAACAATCAACCAACATACGCTCTTGATATTGGTTAATTTATGTACCCTCCTTTATCCAACTGAAATGTAGGTCTCTACAGTTAAGCTCTGTATTATAAAAAAGACAAAATATTTTGTCATGTTGATAAAAGAAACAATCACGTTAGTAAAAAAAACTCCTGCCTGACAATTCAAGTGTGAGGCAAGGGTTTTAAAAGGGAATTGTAGGACAGAACACATTCGATTAAAGATAATATGAAACTTAATTTAAATTAATAACTGGAAAAACTATAGTTTTGCTTTAGATTTGGCACCAGATATGGGATTGTTTGCGGTCATTTGTTGCAACTCAGTGTTGCAACTCTAAAACATTGTCAACATGGCACTTTTAAAATAAGTGTTACCCTCAGTTATCTACAGTGGGGAGAAAAAGCATTTGATACACTGGGGATTGTGCAGGTTCCCACTTACAAACCATGTAAGAGCCTGTCATTTTTATCATAGATATACTCTTTTACTCAGAGTGACAGAATCTAAAACAAAAATCCAGAAAATCACATCGTATATTAAAAAAAAAAAAAAAATCTTTTTGCAATTTATTGTTTATGACAAAATTTGATCACCTACAAACCAGTAAGAATTCCAGCTTTTACAGACCTGTTAATCTTTATTTAGGAAGCCCTCCTTTTCTCCACTTTTTATAAACTGCACCTGTTTGAACTCGTTACTTCTATTAACTGCAACGGTTTGAACTGTTACCTGTATAAAAGACACTTGTCCACAAACTCATTCATACAGACAGGGGGAATGGGAGAAGGCCATGTGGTCTGATGAGATGAAACTGGAGCTTTTTGGTCTAAACTCTAGCCATTTCTCAATATGCATTCTTGTCTGTACTTGTGTTTTTGTGAACTTGTGAAACGTCATCAATAACTGCCCAAGTACTGTTCCAATTCAAAGTTCACATCTAGCCAAGTCCAGTTCAAATGCCCGGATGTGTTTTTAATTCCACCCCGTTTACCGAGGATGCATCGAGAGGTGACTTGTGTGGACTTGAGATAGCCAGGTATCTGACATTTTCGGAGTTGTGACATCCAAGCCTTCACTTCAACCCCAACTGGAACAGCTTTTCCTCGGCTAGCCTGCTTCTGATGTTTGCCGCTGGCTCTGATGTCTCGTCTAGTGGATAAACTCTTGTGTATAAGTCTATCTTTGGTCTCGTTAAACTATAGTTTGCTCCATGGCAAAAAATCATTTTGGCTGAAGGCAAAGTGAAGTTTTATAACTTTATATATTTAGGCTATTTAACTTTGTAGCCTATTAGAGAGCTTATGTTTGAATTGTTTGCATTAATTGTGCCATTAATTGAAATAATCCAGTGAAATGTTTGAATGCACAAGGATTCTGACAACAGAATCCAATGCTCCACACGGAGGTCGGATCTCACCATCATCGAGTGCATCTGAAATTATATGAAGAAACAGAAAAAACAGCGACTAAGACCAGAAGAACTGCGGCAACACTGCTGCAGTGTGTACAAACCTGGGCTACGTTCAGCCGGACAAAACGTTGCACAGCGTTTTTTAAACAGAAATGGTGATGCGTTGAACACATTGTTCTAATGACGCAAGAGTTGCAACTATATGGCAGCTGAGAAAGGCAATTCTTTATGTTCTTTGTGAAAAATTTTCGGAGCCTGATGAAGTCGGAATAAATATGTGTTTAATACTACAAAATGTGCCCGATGTTACAGTTACTGCACCTGCCGTCCAAAACACAAGAGAACATCCCAATTGCGTGAAAGGATTTGTGGAAACTGAAAGCACATCTTACCTAATTCAGACTAAAACACAATCTATTTAGCCTCACACACTAACTTTATTTGTATTTCATACTGTTTTAATACTCTATTTTCTTTCTCATTTTTAGGAAAAGCAATTAATTACCATTGTTTATTTATACCAAATGTCATACACTTGCAACGAAGCTAAACATATAAACAACTACATCATTATGTTTATATCTTATATTTTTACAATAAACAAATGGTCAGACGTTGACGTCCGTCAAACAAATGGTCAGACACGACCAGCGCGACAGATTGCCATGACGGCAAAGGGTATTCCCGTGCGTGTCAGTGACCTTTTTTGAAGCAATACCTCCACGATATCATCCAGATCGAGGCAAAAGGGGTTACGGTATGCGGTGGAGGGATATATTCAAAATATTTTTAAAAAAAATGAAGGAGACACGACTACTATTGAGGCTAATGCTTACCAGTCTCAAGCAAAATCAGAAAAACGCCATGACCATGCTTTCTCAAATGCAACCAGCACAGCCTTGAAGATTTTGTAAACTGGTTCAGTGGCTAATTTTTGAGTTAGAAATATATAACTTGCGCTGCATATTTAGTAATTTTGCCTCCAATACAGGATTACACATTCGCTTTAACAAGCAGGTTGTTCATTACCACAGCAACCGCTTGCGTGTCATGCTCATGAATGTGATTTTCGTGCTTAAAAAGTAACTAACGTTATGCATAAGAGACGGAAAGATGCAGAGAACCATACATTATTTAAGGTTATTTCTTTTCGTTACGATATTGATATATGAACTGATGTTGTCAAATAGCTAAGCTTCATGCTTTCCCCGTTGCGAAGTGCACTCCTCTAAACTGTAGTCTACGGTGCTGCACTGCTAACTTAGCTGACTGCTGCTCTTTTTGAGAATATCATGGTATGTTAACAACAACCCTTTAGAAAATGTAAGTCCTTTGTGGATCCTCTTGATGTGCTTTCGCCGTGCTTCTTTGACTAATCTCAGTGTCTCAGTCTCACGCACGCTGCACGCGAGTTAACCATGTTCGACACATTTAACTGGGAGTGGCCGTCCACACTGTTTTTATCCATTGTAGGCACCGGTCGCGTTGTGTTTTCTGCTTTAAAAAAACACAAAGAAAACAACTCCTCCAGACAATCTCTCGGGGTACCTAGTGTCCGATTTACAAACACTGTGGAGGCACCTCTTCACCATAGCATGGAGTCAATGTTTGACGGACCTGCTTACATAGTAACGGTTGCTATGATGTGTGATTGGACAATGGCCATTTTGGGGGAGGGGCCGGCGAAAGGTCAATTACTTTCCTTAAACCCATTGTGCGAGTTCAATTTAATACCGCGTGCTTTATAAACATGTTGCTGCTGATTGGACTGCAGTTCTGACACACCCACCAAACAAGAGAAAACATATCTCAAACCCTGTTGCACATCGGTGCACACCGTTTCCAGGAAACATGATGTTCAACCCGGAAACCATAGCAAAACGTTGCGCACCGTTTGGAACTTGAACATGCCCCAGGTCAAGAACTACAGGAAATGTATGTTGTCTTTAATTGCAAACAAACGTTTTTGCACCAAAAATTAAGTTAGGCTTGATGTATCAAATACTTATATCATGCAATAAACTGCAAAATGATTTTTTTTTTAATCATACAATGTGATTTTCTGGATTTCTGGATTTCTGTTTTAGATTCCATCACTCAGAGTTTAAGAGTACCTATTAAAAATACAGACTCCTATATACTTTGTGGGAAACACTGGCGATTTTGCAGGTTATCAAGTACTTGTTCTCCCCACTGTATATGACGTAAAAAAAAAAAGCCAATGAAAGAAATCCATGTGATTAATATGCACACCTAAATGTAATCTAAGCATAAAACTAATTTTAAATGTGTATTCATTACAATTATTTTTTATTACTATTTTTAGTTAGAGTTTGCAAAGTCCATTAGTGAAGGTCTCAAGAAGAGTTTCTGCCTTCGGAAATTGCATACTTATTAGCCTACCTTAACTTGATTACCTGAAGAAGTCGACATTGTAATTGTAAATTTATTGAAATTAAATGTTGTTTTTAGTGCAGATTTCGTAATTAATTAGCACTTAATTGTTTATCTGAAAAAAAAAAAAGAATCTGAAAGCACAGAATAAAACAAAAATGGTGAAACTGACCTGACCTAATAGCTGCAGCAATATCAAAAGCAAAATGTTGGTGATATAAAAACACTGCCCATGAGCATTTTTAGCATGCGTTCAAATGAAATATGGGGCTTGAGTGTTCGTAAAAACAACAACAAAAATATTTAAATTATTTTTTTAAAAGCTACAATTGTCCCACTATCAAGTCACGTGAAGTAATGGTAATTGCACCTGCTACGAATGGGTCATAGAACTTCAAAATGAGTTTTAAATTAATCATTTTATAAACAGATTTTTATTCAAGTAAGGTTCTTATTCTAAATGTTTATGTTTGTAAATTCTGTGTGACTGTGTCGCGCTTTAATTTGCATGCGCGTGAACACTCGAGCTGCCTTCAAACACTGGAGCGGAGATGAGTTGCCATGGAAACGGCGCGGGGCGGGACCGCACTACTGCAACTGTCAGCAAAACTCCGTCTCTCGCTGTTGTTTTCACTGCTTTCAGGTGAGTTTAGTCTCTAAAACCACTAAAAGCACACTGTTCTTGACACTTATCTTACTTGTAATCGACTTGCTTCTGTTGAATATTTGCTTTAGAAATGGTTTAGTTTCTTTGAAAAAGTCTGTTAGCATCTCAACCGTTTCCAGAAGAGGTAGCAGCTAACGTTAACTTAGGCTAACTTTATAGCTTGAGCTTTTGTTTATGAAAGTTTGGGCCTTTAATCACATTTTATGTGTAGATGAGAGATTTTGATAGTTTTGTAAAGATTTTGGACGTAGCCTAAGCTAATTTATTTCTTGGACGTAAGCTAATTTATTTAGAGTAATCGTACTGTTAATCGGTGACGTCACTTACATGAATGCTTAAAAATTGCTGAAACTTGCTCAACGGTTAACAAATATTGATAAAAACTGTTCTGTGATTTCAGCAGCAACACAAATAATTCCTCTTCAACAGAGGAAAGCTCCAAAATGTCAACATTTCTGAAGAAAGCTGCTGCCAGAGAAGTGGAAAACAGACAGAGGTGAGTAAGCTCATTAAATAACAGAGAAGATTTGTTTTTTCTCGAAAATACTATTTAATGTTATCTCATTAGTATTTTTGTCAACTTGTTCTCTTTCAATTAGGACTGGTTTCATATTTCTATTTCCATCTGATTAATCGTTTGCCTCATTTAACAGAGTAGGCATTTATGAATAATTTTGGAAATAAAATATGAAAAACATTGCACTGTTGATCATACTAGTCTACTTTAATGTTTCAAAAGGAAGTTTGCTTTGTTTTGTGTGTATCAATGTCAGATGGATAAATGAATATTAGATGCAGTTCAGGGTCAAGTTTCTGTGAAAAAGAATGTGTGTAATACTCAAAATAGTTTCTGTGTCTTAATGTGTGTGTCTTTGAGTAGCGTGTACTGTGTATGCATGTATCCACACATGCTCAGGTCCAAGGGCTCGATGTTTGCAAGCACTCATGCACATGTGCACATGAACATAATGAACATGTTCATATTTTACTTAATATTTCCAAAATTATTCATAAATGCCTACTCTCTGCCCACGATTAATCAGATGCAAATAGAAATAGAAATATAAAAAAGTGGTAACTGAAAGAAAACAAGTTGACAAAAAGATTGAATCCAGAATTGGGTGATAATATAGCATAACAAGTGATTTATAAGCTATTTTTGTAGACCAGTTATTTTTGACCGGGAACACCACAAGTGTTATAGGGTTTTGAACACAACACAATGAAAAGGTAAACCTAGTAAAAACATACATTTTGTTATCCTAATTAAGAAATCATTGTTTGTTCTTTCTCTTTTCTGCATTTTACTTCTGCTGTAGCTTCTGTCCTTTTAATAATCCTGTCACTGTATAATAATGTTGGCTCTGTGACAAATGGTTTGTTGTGTTCCTAGATCCTTCCATGCAGATGCCCTGCACCATAGCAGAGTTGAGCTGATCATCATCTCTAAGGCGCTATCACCATTATGATTAGTAAGTAAAATCAAGCCAAAGACAAATTTCCACTTGAGGACAATAAAGGAACTAAACTAAAACTTCAAACATACTCTAATGTTGTTGGTAAAAAAAAATATGTGTTTTGAAAGTAGTCTCTTATGCTCACAAAGACTGCATTTATTTAATTAAAAATACAGTAAAAACAATAATATTGTGAAATAATATTTAAACATTTAAATAACTGTTTTCTATGGAGAAGCATCACATTATCCTTCAGAAATCATTCTAATATGATGATTTGATGAAACGTTTATGATTATTATCAGTTTTGAAATCAGTTGTGCTGCTTCACATTTTTGTGTTTTTCAGGATTATTTGATGAATAGAAAGGGAGAAAAAAAAATTATTTTCTATTCTTATAAAAACAATAATTCTATTGAACCCAAACTTTTGAATAGTAGTGTAAACTACCATTTATATATGTTGGGTCTATTTAACAATTAATCCTGGAGAGAGAGAAAAAGAAAGTGGATTAAACTGTTACACTGGTTTACACAAAAATAGCAATCAGCACAACTGTTTTCAACATACTCAGAAATGTTTAGGACATTTGCATTGTGAGAAGGTATAGTATTCAAATATAAAAATGCTGACTCGTTAGGTCATGTTTTCTCATTAAAATCTCATTAAGATTTCCTATTAATTGAATAGAATGTAAGGGAATAACTCTAGAATGATATGATATGTTCTTCCTGATATGTTTGGGGCCCAGAAACATGATCCTAATTTAAATCTAGATTAAAGACACATCTCTGTAGCCAAGCATTCAATTTATACATCTCATAATCTTGTACTTCAGTTATATGTGATGAAATAATAAAAAGTGCACATGATCATCTTTTGCCTGAAATAATATGACAGCAGCTATGCTAATCTTTCTCCTGTTGCTTCCCTGTTTCTTTCTCAGGATGCTCAGCAAGTTCACTAGAGATTACAGTAGCTCCAGTGTGGATCCAGCCTCACTCGTGAAGACTTCAGATGACACCAACACTCACAAAGACTTCAGATGGTGGCAACTATAGATGGACACAAAACTGCCAGATATTATCCTTACATTGCATTGGCCCGGTTTCACACACAGGGTTTAGATTAAGCCAGGATTAGGCCTTAGTTAAATTAGGATATTTACAGTAAGTAGCTTTTTATAATGTACTTCAGAGAAAAAAGAAGGAAAAAAAACATTACTGGTGTGCATCTCTTGAGACAAACCAGTGACACTGAAATATTTTAAGATATGTCAGTGCAAGTTGATTCCAGTTAAGACAGTTCAAAAATGCATTTTATTCTGGGACTATCTTAAGCCTTTTCTGTGGAACCAGGGAAGGGAAGGGAACGTTTGCATGACAGTTTTGCTGACAAATAAACAGGAATATCTTAGTATACCTAACTAAGAGAAAGAGTAAACATTGTTCTAACATATTACCAACATTGTAAGAATAGCAGGTTGAACATCTGCAACCCTTTAAAAATGATGAAGGATAGCAATTAGGACTTTAAACTCATGACTTGTATTATCTTATAGACATTACTTTGTTGCCAAAAGATGCTCTCCCAGTGAGTAGAAGTCGCCTCTGGCTGATTAAAGGATATTTTGCAATTGTATATAACCTTGAACATGCATTTTTTGTAAAGCTGTTATGAAACAATTTGTATTGTGAAAAGCACTATGTGGTTTTACTATGGTAAAACTACCAACCATGTTATTTATTTTTTAAACCATGGTTCAACTAGTAATATTGCTGTAATAATTGCTGTAAAATTATGGTAATCATGACTATAAACGTATGTTTTTAAACCTTGGTTGTTGTGAAACCATAGTTCATTTTGTTAGCAACTATGGTTTTACTGCAAATGCTGTGGTAAAACCATGGTTAATTTTCATAAGGATACAACTTATCTTATAATGTACTTGACTAATAGTCACATTGGATAAAATAATCTGATAAATGTAATACAATGTATCCATTTCATCTGTTCACTGAAAATTAATTTAATAAAAATAAATTTGCAACTGCTATTGAGACTGGTGTACATTGCTTTTTTATCCATAGCCTATAACGTTAGTGAATTTTGGCTACCATGAGTAACTGATTATGAACCGTGGACCCACCGTGGTCCGCCAGAACACACTTATTATAAACCAGCGGCAAAATAGCGGACCACCGTCGGGAAGCGGCGGCTGACGCTGGAAGTCCTCTAGAATAACGATGAGCAAAACGCCAGTGATGGCGGGCCCGCTGGACTATATCTCATCTACTGCGCGAAACCGGATCATCACCTTTTGCCACGCTAAATCTAGCTGTCAGTCAGTGAAGTTATGCTGCAGAGTAAATAGATTTGACATGATGACATCAAACGATAGTTTGGACATTATCTGCGCCGACAATATGTCTAAGGTAGGATAATAATTACATAATCTACGTTGTTTCATAGCTTCATCATTACTTTGTATTGGCCGCTGTGTGTATTGAGTGGACAGGCTGTACCTACGGTAATCACGTAGCCTATGCTATCTTGTTAGCTAGCCTAAGTAAGCTATCATCAACGCGATCTACTAACATGATTCTAACATAACATGAATTACAACATGGGTTTATAGACAAATCGTAGGATCGTCTATATTCATCATACTTTATTAATTTACTATAATACATAATTGATTTCCATCAAAAGTTAACTTGAGATAACTTCCTTGTGTCCAAATATGGCATTTATTGATACGTAATATCTGGGATTTATTTATTGTGCACAATGCTGTACCAGGACCGAACCATAGGGGGGAACACGTCTTCTTAGTTTCCCGCCATACATGTAAATATGAGGCGGAGATTTATTAAATATGCACACTGCAGTACCAAGACCCGGCTCCAGGGGCAAATCCGAGTACACACCCTCACACTCCAACACTGGTAAAACCACCTTCTGGGGTCACAAGGAAGGAACTTAGAAATTTGCACAGGCTATATTAGCATGCTATTTTCTATCAGTTCCAATGGGCGTCCTTATGGGGACACAGATTTTGTCCCCAGTTGGTCATCGTGTCCCCATATGGAAGGTAAAAAAACACCTCCATGTCCCCAAGAGGTAACATAAACACACCCACACACACACGCACACACACACACACACACACACACACACACATAAAAGAACATTTGGTCCTAATACAGATGCACTTGCACTTATATCATATATAATTAGCCTCATTTAAATTACCAAATTTTTAAGTACAGCCTGACACTCATCTGACTTGACATGCGGCCACACATTGGGACTCTCAAGGGATTTCAAAGTACTTTTGCCTTACCCAGGTGAAAAAAAATTCACTAAAATACATTTTATTTAAGTGCACTTAGTACACTTCCATAATGTACTTAAAGTGTTCTATTTTCACACACTTATTTTCAGGGGCGATTCCAGGATTTTAGAAATCAGGGGGCACAGGGGGGACCAAGAATCAGTCAGAAGGAGCCCATGGAAAATCAGAAAATTCAACTGGAAATAAATATTTGTTTAGAAAATATTAAGCACGATTTCGAAAAAATGTCCAATGCCCAGTGCCCCAATATAAATGGTATTAAATGTGACACTAAACAATAGTCTGAAAATCCTTTTGTATTTTACATGGATTGGACCATCACTCAAAAAAAAAAAAAAAAAAAAAAAAAAAAAAAAAAGATATGTTGGCTTCAATTAACTTATTTATGTAAAAGGGGTCCTTAAATTAACTTTTTTTATATCAACAGGTTCCACATAACTGGGCTACGTTAAACAAACATAATTTGTTTATGTAACTTCAACACACTCAAAAAATGATATGTTGGCTTTAATTAACTTTTTTTATGTCAACAGGTTCTGATATGTTGGCTTTAATTAACTTTTTTATGTCATCAGGTTCTGGTAAGTTAGCTTTAATTAAATTTTTTATGTCAATAGGTTCTTCATAACTGGGTTAAACAAATTATTATGATTTGTTCATGTAATTTTAACATAATGGAATTAAGTCATTTTAAGTGATCCAGGTACTCTAAGCAGTGTTAAAGTTAATGAGATAATTAAGTGAATAATTGAGTGATGATTGAGCATTATTGAAGACACCTGATGTCAACAAGCAAAATCACTGAAGGACAAAACCGGAATCTTAAGTCACCATGGTAACCAGTGTTTGTTTTAGTTGAGCTCTTGACCCTCACTTCATTGACTTTATATTATGTTTGGTTGCTGTACATGAGGTATACCAGCCAGATGAAAAAAAAAATAGGAAAGGTGATTTGATGGTCATGGTTGTGTTTTAACATAATCATTTTATCACAATCATTTGACCTCAATCACTGAACTCATATAGCACCCAACTTAAGTTTACCTCATGGATTATAGCAGCACCGCCATTGTAGAGCATACAGTTTTTAGCCTTTATGAAGAAATCCAAATAATCAAATCAATCAAAGAGAAACTTCTAAAAAAAAATGTAGAAAACCCACAGAAATCAAGAATCAGACTGTGAATCTCAACAATGGTGACAATTACAGTACAAAGCATGTTCCAGTGCATTCTGGATGCCACCAATCAAAACTCATTCATATCTCCCATCATGCATTGCTGCATGAATAAATAATGAGCTTATGTTCAGAGGTGATCTGTTTGTCACCACAGCTGAAATTCATACGCCAATTCTTAAGGTCTGTGTGTGCCTGCATACAGTTATTTGTCAAAGTTTTTTTTATTATTATTGATATTATTATTTTTATTATTATTTTATTATTATTTTTTTATATAATTTTTTCATTTTTTTATTATTATTGATTTGACCATTTGGATTTCATTGAAAAGGCTAAAAATGGTATGCTCTACAATAATAGTGCTGCTTAAATCCATAAGGTAAACTTAACTATATGAGTTCGGGTCAAATGATTGTGAAATGATGATTATGTTAAAACTAGGGATGTGCATGAATATTCTACTACTGAAAATTTTTAATAAAAATGTATTACAAAGTTTTCATTTAGACCCTAAACATTCATATTAACTTGTATAAAAATGCCATTATATGACCCCTTAAAGTAAAAATGGTCTTTTACTTGTAACGGAGTTCTGTACTTGTAACAGATCTGTACTTTCACTCAAGTAAAAAAGTTTTTCCACCTCTGCACCTCTATTGGGATGCTGTCTAAGTTGGCAATAAGGACGCATGATGGGTATAGACCTGTTATATTATCAGATTCAGTAAGGTGGATGTGTATTTTGTATCCATTTTTTCTCAGTGTCTATCATTCCTGTCACCTGTTGTCTGTGTGACATCTCACTAAAGTTTAAATGACTATTCAAAATATTTTTAAACCTTTAAATAATCTCTCATATTCTACACATACATTGTAGACCTGATAAGCTGCCAATCAAGTCCAAAGGCAGTAAAATAAAGAGCAGACTTTGATGTTCTTTCTTCTCCTTATCTCTTCTCTTTCTTGTGCGACTTTTGACAACAATTTCAACCTGTGGTGTGCCGCTGGACATGAGAAAAATCAGACACTATGGAACAGGAAATACAGAAAATCAGAGAGGAAGTAGCTCTGATGGAACTTCACAGCCCTGGAGGAGAGAATGAAAGTATACGGAGAGGTTGTGTGTGTCTGTGAGAGACAGAGAAAATGAGTGTGTGTGTGCGTGCGTGTGAGCGGGAGTGATGGTCGGCTCCTGTCGTTCAGTCTCTGTGGATCTGGGAGATCAAACGCTGTTGAAAATGAATCTCTTTATATGTCTCTGAGGGTAGTGAGAGAGACGCTCTGATCAAGGAGTGTAAGATGTCTGTTGGCCGGATCAATAACAGACTCATTATGGTGCCAATTTTACAAAAAATCTACGAAAACAAAGATACAATTTTAGAATGTGGTGATAACTTTTACATTATATTTATATATAAAAAAAACTTTGATTTCTTAGTTTATTCAGAATTGAGTTTTTGCTGAATATTAATAATAAATGGCTATTCAAGTCTTTCTTGGAGATAAAAAATTTGGTCCCACTTTATATTAAGTGGCTTTAAGTACTATGTACTTACATTGAACAATTAGTAAGTATTATTGTTTTCCTGTTGTATTGTAAAACACTTTTGCTGCTATTGAGGTGTGATACGGGTAAGGTTAGGGACAGATGTGGTGGTATGGGTCGGTTTAAGGGTAGGTTAAGGTGTGAGGGAAGGGTCAACTGTGTAATTACAAATGTAATTACATAAAGTAATTATAGCTGTAATTACATACTGGTATTTTTAAAATATAAGTACAATGCAAAAACATGTATGTACACAGTAAGTCCATTGAATCAAATTATTAATTTCAATGTAAGTACATAGTACTTAAAGCCACTTAATATAAAGTGGGACCAAAAATTTGGATGATGGTTTCCATGTTCATTTCCATGCTGATACAAATGAGCATAGACTGAAGCTTTCAAAATGAAAAACGAACATGAAAGTATTATAAATGTGGTCCACATAACACACATCCACAGCAGACTAGTGGAAGCAGCCTTGGCCAGCAACATGCCCAGCGCATGCCCACTGCCTATTTTGGAAAAAGAGAAGACAATAGCCTTTTTTCTTTGTTTTCTCTCTAGACAGGTACTGTTTTTCATTTTTTCATCTTCCTACTAGGCAGCCAAGTTTTACTGAAAGCCTATTTTGCCAGTGGTAAATGCATGGACCATTTCTTTTGTTTTTGTATTCTTTTTCAAAGCTTGTTAGCTTTCGTCTCCATTCATTGTAATTACATCTAAAACGATGACCAGTATGAGTAAAAAAATAACATAATTTACAATTTGGGGTAAACCATCCCTTTAAAACGATATAGAATTCTGAAACACCGCCGTTAATACATCCACGGCACATCTCTCCCGTGAACGCCATCTAATGAGCGAGAAGCCTGGCCTTTAGCTCACTATAGCTAACACTCATAGCTTTCATTTCGGAAAATGTCACATGTTCAAAACCGACACAAAACAAATTGAGGTCCGTCGTTTCGTT